CAGCAGGATGGGAGGTTTTGCTGAGCTTGTCCCAGGGTTCCTGAGGCAGCAATCCTTCATGATCCTTGTGCGTCTTTCTTGGACACCTACTTATTCAGAGAGTAATCTGTGCATGGCTGTCCCTGCTTAATTCTTCATTTTGAGCATGCCAGACAGCAAACACAGAGTATTTAAGAAAAGGGTCTCAAAATACAATCTTATCCTTCTTCCCATTCACATGGGAAAAAAAAAGAATCTATTTCCCACATACACTTTCCTGTATATAAAAATGGAGGGAAAAGCCAAATCCTTTTCTTGCCACACTTTCTTAGGAACATCCAGCGTACTAAAATAATACCTATGGTTATTTTTCTTCTTTATTCCACATAAGAACTTGTATTGAATTTTTTGATTGCTGCTATATGCTAAATACACTGCTCTCATTACAGGAAGGCCACAGAACATGTTGGGGGGACTTAAGCTTGACTGTCCTTCTGACTTTTTCAGAATTGAAACATTTTCTGAAACCATCCGTTGACACTTAAAATTGCTTTTTTCCTCAAAAAAAAAAAAAAAAAAAAAGGCATCCAGGCTCTCCTGCTCTTATGGCAGTGTCACTACATAGCAGCTACATTACAGAGACACTGCCCTGGTCTAGCAATAAGCACTGAAGTCACAGGAGAAACTAAACAGGTACAAGTCCCTTGGAATGCTAACTTTTGCCTAATGCATGACCTCTTAACCTCCTATGGCAAAGTCTGATATATCAAATTAAACAGGAGTAAATACACTGATGGGTTATCTTTACAGAGAAGACAGCATGGGGTGAAATGACATAGGAATTTATTATTCATATCAGACACTTTGTATGACTTCTGTATGCAGACTGCTGGATGTAACGCTGCTTAGCCCTTAGTAAAGAGTCTGGTTTGCACAGGGTAAAGGTGTTCTGCACCCTCTCTGCCTAGTCAGGGGCACAGTTGCTGCACAGTGTGAGCATCCAGCAAGGACTGCAAATTACCTGTAAATCCTACCTTGAGACATTCTCGGTGATTTCAGTGCTTGCTTTCAGATTGCCAGCTTAAGACAAAGCCCAGAACACCACGTTCTTCCAGGTGTAAAGGCTGAATGCCAAGAAATAATTTTTTTTTAAAAAAAAAAAAGGAACACTGAAATATTTTTTATAGATTTTTAACAGAAGCTAAGATTATCTCTGAGTATTTTACAAAAACAAACCAAACGCAGTATGAGAGTGATAAGGTGCCTTAAAAATGCTGCTTATTTATTCTTGCACAAGTCAGTCATAATGTTGGTTTAATATCTGTTTAATTTTCCTACAGTGTTTCAGGCTCAGGAGAAAAGCACTGTATCTCAGAAATACTCCAGAGTTAATCAGGGATGTGGTAGCATCTGCTTAAGAGAGACCTATAATTGAATCATCCCTAATTAACCTATCACCTCAGCAGAAGGGAATAGGATGTTCGGACCACCACTGAAATGGATGAGAGTGATGGGAATGGATGAAAGAGAAATAAAGCAATTTGCCTAACACCTAGTTTTATAACAAATATGGGAGGAGGGAGGGGAAAGAAATTAAAGTATATGAATCATTAAGTCTGTTCTCTATAGTTAATCAGACCATAGTTTCAAAAGCATTTGAGCATATTTACATGTTAATCAGTGCATGATTTAGGACCAAGAATGTTTTTTCCTTTGTATGGTTTGGGCTGTTTACAGTATTTACAGATTTTTCTTCTTAGTATTGCTGTTGACCTGATTTGTATTTGTAATAATTATAATTTCAAACTAGGAAAAAAAAAATAAATTTGAGAACTAGTGGGCAGAAAATAAAAGCAATGTCACAGATCTCAGCATAGGAAATACAACATCTGTCATATACTTGCTGAGTGAAATGTCTGCACAAATCAAAATGAGAAGTATTTCCTATTTGAAATAAGTCTCACGGACGTACAAACCAGATCCTGAAGAACACTTCTTGATTTATTGTTGTTGTTCTCTTTTGTGCTAGATAGCTTATGTACAGTAATTGCAATTTGTTTCATGCAGTGCCCTGCCAGACTGTTTTAGATTATTTGAAGACTGTACTTCAGCATCACAACCAGCTTATGGTACCACAGCCAACAGACCATCCGACTGAGGTAGTATACAGTCAAGACAAGCTACATCTCTTTGTTTGACAGTTTGCTGGAATGATGTAGGCACATAAATCAAGAGGTGCTGATAGAATATATTTAGTAGTAAAAAATATGTAAAATCTATTACTAAACTGTCATTCTTAGATACAGTAATTCTCCAAATGGAGAAAACTCATCACTAGTATAATCTAAGATGACTTTTCTGAGCAATATATAACTCACTCCATCAGCATCAGCTGCACTTGCCTTGTTTTGAGTAATTTTTTCTCTCACCTTTACTCAGAAATGTCACTTTTGTGAGTAGAATTTAGGCTGGGGCTAGCCTGCTGGTGCACAAGGGCTGCAGCCCGTGTTGTGTGTGTGGACACAGCCACGGGTATGGAGTTGGTGCAGCTCCAGTGCAGCCCTGAGATAGTTAATGCTAAAATACGCGTTTCCTTCGTTTTGCAGACAGACCCAAATATAGACTTCTGCAAGTCTTTGGAGTGCTCTTGCTTTTCAGAAAGCATCCCAAACAAAATGTTGAGTGTTGACAATTTAATACTTGATATGGAGTTTGGGGATTTTTGTAATTATGTTCTATTTAGAAGTGCTGCAGTGAAAAAGCAGGAAATTTAAGTCCTCCCCTTCTCTAGAAGTTAGATGTATAGATTTACCTGTCAGCTCCAGTGTAGCTCACGTTAATTTTGCTCCAGTGTGTTTCTATCCAGGCTTGCCTCAAACAAAGTGGTTTTGTTGAGACTTTTATAATTTAAACTGTCTGTATCTGAGGCTCTTGTTATGTATGTTTTCTTACATGTGGTATATACACATCACTACCAGTTATTCAGGCAAGCAGAAGAAGGAAGAGTTGGGTCTGGTCTGACCTCCCTTTGCACATAAATGATATGTAGTGGAAGCCCCATGTAGTCTAACTTCCCGTAGTTTCAGTAGAGATGTTTTGCAGCAGTTCGGGGTGTGCATCACTTTCCTCTTCCATTCAGTTTTATCCTGTGCAAAATGATATATTCAAAGATATATGTTTATATTTGTATACATCATTAGCTATTATCACTCAAATACATTCCAAGCATTCATTTTCCTTTTTTTAGTGCCCTTTTGCTTAACTAAAAATTTTAAGCAGAGTAAAAACTGAGTCTGTTCTGTCCCACATGGAATAGCTTGTCATGATGTGACAGAATTTTTTATTCAATTAAACACATAGATGCTAATCTTTTATTCATAAGCTTAATCATGTACAAATACAAGCATGAATGCATTTGTATTTTGGTTCTTTCTTCAGGGTCTGCTTATTTAATTTCTGCAAGGTTTTCTGTTTGTCTTAGTTCAATGACTGCTGGACACACCAAACTGCATCATACGTTTACCAAGAATCCTTTGCCCAGAAGTGCTTTATTTTCAGAGAAAGTAATGAAAGTGTATCTGTAGCAGGAACCCAGTAATTGTTTAATACAGTAGCATAACGCTATATCATGCCTTTGGAGGAGAATGAGGAAAAATATCCTAAATTTCAGGGGCAATAAGAGAGAAGTAAAATAAAATTGAGGCTGAGGAAATCGCTCAAAATATATTACCTTCTCCACAGTTAATAGTAATGTGAGCTGTCATTAAATTTAGTTGCTGGGCCTATCTGCACCATATTTCCATCCGTGCAATACATTTAAACCAGAGGTAGCTTCTAAGATGGCTTGCTGCTCAGCAGAGCCACATATGTGCAGCCATTCCTAACACGCATGAGCAAGTCTGGAGCCTTACACTGTACCAATACAAGCTTGCATTGCATTGCTCCTGCCTGCCAGCACTTAAAAGCAAGGCAGTGCCTACAGAGGTAGCTGCGGCTTGTACTTAGCACTGGTATCAGCAAGAAAGGTCCTGGCTTCACTACAGTTTTATTAATAGAAAAAAAAAAAAATAGGTTTCAGAAATCTAAGGTAGGAAAATAATTCACTTTATATAAAAAGGATGTGGAGCTAGCTGCTGAAAAAAAATGTGAACATGGGGATCAGGTGGTCCTCTGTATTATTACCTCTATGGTGGAACAAACTAAGAAGAGATTAGTGTCAGCTCCCCCTGAGATGGATTGGTCACAATTGCTTCAACATAGGAGTATAATACCCCCAAAGAGCTTTCCATGCTGCCCCCTTCCTCTTCCTCCTTCCCCATCCCCTTCACTCTGGTGGCAGGGGATGAGGAGCTGGACTGGATGGAGGGAAAGGTTATTTCCATGGCAGAGTTCCTCAGACCTATTACTGGCTTCCCAGAGGTGCATGAGCCTGGCAGAAATTAGGGCAGCTTCTTGTTTCATGAGTGGAGCAGGAGGACTCTACCCTTTTGCAGTAGTGGGAGGAAACAAGTGTAGAGGAAACAAAGAGAAAGTCTCAAATGATAACAGAGTTGGACTACAGGTAAAGGGTTTTTCTCTTTGGGATTAGAAGCTTGGATTTGCAATCTACAGGGGGATGAAGAGATGTTTTTGGAGAAGGGGAGAGGTCACCCAGACAAACAAAGCCCATTTCTTCCTTTATATTTTGTCTTCTCTTGTGGAGTTTTGCATTTGCTTGTAGCTGTCTTTGCCAGCAGGTTGCACTGAGGCAAACAAGTAGCAGACAGTCACACAGGCCCAGCTCCCAGTGAGGCCAGCCCACCTGGGAGGTGGTGGTACCTAAATCATAGATTCCCTGATGACCCCCTCGTCATGATCTTAACTAAATTCAACCTTCCCTCTATTCATGGAAACTTGCAAAAAAATTGAGAGCAAATACCTGATGAAAACAAAGATAGATGCTCCCAAGGTGCTGTAACTAATATATGAAAGGAGGCAAGGGGAATCCTTAAAGTACTTTTCAGATGTCAAAGATCTGGAAGTGGTGAGGAGTCCGTTGCAGCAGTTGCCCCCAAGTGCAGCAGATGTGGCATTAGACCCTTGTTTCTCTAGTTCACTGTGAGCTCCTGTCTAAGCTGGGGGCTATAAGAGATTTTACTAATTGGGCCTGCAGATTTATGTGTTTTAATAAAGAGGCGTAGCTGTAAAAGTAAATGATTCTCTAGGAGTGTGTGATTTGGGTTTCTTTGTGTACTGCAATTATTTCAAGTATATTAACAGTCCCATCTTACATTAATTGGGTAATCCTAAACTATAGCATTTTATGGGCAACAAGAATTAAATACAATTTAGGTACAATTGACTAAAGAGGGCTTATAAATGTTGTGTGGATTACAAGAATCCCCATAATTAGTCCCACAGCATTCATTTACTGTTGGAATATTGATGTACACGAATTATGAAGGTTAAAAGCAAAATTTCTTTCCAGCTGACATGGTGGCATTTCTGTAAAGCTATAATTTGAGTTAATATGGCATTCATTAATAATAATGAAGCTTTTAGTTTTCATAGTTCCTTTATTTATTTTCTTTACATTTTTCACAGGAACATAACTGCTGTCAGGTTTCAGGTGTGTTCTATGGAAGTAATAAATTTATTATAAAAATAGACTGAAAGAGTCACCTCTGAAATAAACTGTCAGCTGTGATGAAGGGATCCATTTGATCACACTGTTCAAAGACCCTTTTTATGCATTTTTACAGATTAAGAAGATAGCTTATACTTTATATAGTATAACCAGACACTGATTGTTAACTCTTTTTACCCTGCTTGTTAAGGTGGAAATTGTCAATAGCCACCTCTCAAAACATATTCCTTTTTCCTTTTGCCTCGCCAAAGTCTAGAACGTGGAAATGTAACTTTAAAAATACTCATTCTGAGTAAGAGCAATGACTTGTTCACTTCAGGATGTGTTTTGCTGTCAGCATCGCAGCTAGTTAAAAGGAGTCTTTTTTTATTGAACTGACATCTTTATTTATTTGCCTTGTAAAATAAGCAATGGAAATATTTCACTTTTTCAGGGGAGCAAGCAGTTGCTGAACAACTACCCAGTCTACATCACTAGTAAACAGTGGGATGAGGCTGTAAATTCTTCCAAGAAAGACGGACGACGGCTCCTTCGCTATCTCATCAGATTTGTTTTCACAACCGATGAGCTTAAGTACTCATGCGGCCTTGGGAAAAGGAAAAGGTCAGTGCAGTCAGGAGAGACAGGTCCTGAAAGACGTCCTCTGGATCCAGTAAAAGTAACATGTCTCAGAGGTACTGCATCTTTTCGCTCAGTGTCCACCATATGTGATCTCATTTCACCACATTGGCTCTGCCTCCGTAGAAGCATTTGGCTAACAGTTGCAGAACTAGAAGGGGTTTCATAGACGGGTGACAAGCAGACAGAAACCCCCTGACTCTTCTTTTTTTTCTTTTTTATACACACATACATGTACGTATGTATGTGTTATATATGTGTTTGGTGGGTTTTTTTGATTAGGAAAAAATGGGGCTGCTTATCTGAGAGGAGACAAAAATAAGTGCATGTGACACTGATATATCTGAAACAGCAAAGAAGGAGAATCAGACAACCCTGATTACAGTCTTTTATAATAAACTAACAGGGCATTCTTTAACACTGACAGGCAGCAAAATTAACCAAAGAAACAGTAATATGTAGTGTGGTAAGCATATAGCGCTCAAGGTTTGAGTGCATCATTGGAGTTAAAAGCTACCCAATTTTCAGAATAGGTTTGAACCTTTGGTAGGGCCAAGAACATCTACAGGTTAATTGCGTACAGAGTGTATACAAATATGTTGTCAAGGATCTAAATTCTTTTTTGGAGTACTGGATTGAGAAGAGTTATCTGTTGTGGCTGTTCATATTTTGATCTCCTAAAATTCTTCAAAATGCCCAGTACTGGGCTTTATAACAAAACATACACAACAGGACTTTTTAAAACTCAAATTAAAATGTTTGCAGTATCAGCATCTGCATTCTATAAATGCAGATGCTTATCATTTCTTTAGTTAACTCATAGTCAACTTCATACTAGGGTGTGAGCACATATATGAAATTTTGTTTGAACTGACTTCAAGAATGTTTTACTGATCACAGCGGTGCAGAAAGTTATACTTTGGTCAGTCAGTGATAAAAACACCTTTAGTCACTCAACTAGAGTCCAGAGTGGTTATATACATCAAACGGAACCTCTTCCCATCTAGGGCAGAAGAACCCAACAAGGCCAAGTAGATAAGACTTGTAGTTGGGGTATATTGATGTAACCAGGTGATGAATTCAGATTTTACATTAAGAGCCTCTTTGCCTAATTTGGCTGGTTTGACTACAAAGGAACCTGTTAATCTCTTATGTGATACTCCCCAAGACCTTATACTCTCTCAAAGCTTAATAGAAGGGCACATCCACTGCACACCATGCTACACAGAGGTCTGGAGCAAGATTCAGGCTCCCATAAATTCTCCTAGAAACTGGAGGCTGAATACAAGTGCATTAACCATTTACTAAATGATTAAATTTCACCTAATAATTTATGCACAAGCAGAGTGTTAATACCTTTTTCTTCCCCTTGCCTACCACCAAGACTAACAATAAACCCATCTGTAGATGGACTTTTGCTTATGGCCACTCTCTTCTGTGGGGTCCTGGACATTTAGAACATGTGGAGCACTCCCTGGGAAAAAGAGAAAGGCCAATTTCCTTAATTTCCAGAAGCTTGAAGAGGAAGCCAAAACATTTAGTATCAAAGACCAGTTAAGGAAGCAAGAGTAGACAGTTCTTCCTTTAGGCTTTCATGGGTGGGAACATGACAGCTTTCTCCAGTGCCAAGAGTTGGCCACTGGCTCTTGCCATTTGCAAGCCAAGGTAACAATTGGATATGCTGACTAATTCTCAGCATATCCAATTATGCCTTCCCCCCCAGAGCAGGAGTACAAACGGCTTCTCTCTCTGCACTCAGAGTAGTTTAAACCTCTATAAATGTTTTTAATATATTCCTACAACTGGCTGATGTCTGGAACCAGCTTTAAAACAGCTTGGCATGCTTAAATTATAGTATTAGTCCTTTACATAGTAACCATTTCTCTGAGAAAAACAGCAGTCTGTAGAGCCCCACGTGAACATAACTAGGTAGGAATTACTGTTACCTTTGTGGATTTCCAGGGAAATGAATTTTAAACCCAGATAGCTATCACTTTTGCAGACACACTGATGGAGGAGCTATGCAAAAAATCACGTCCTAATTGTCCAACAGATGAGATACCTCACAGGCATGGGAACTCATGTAAAAGCACAGCATTCCCTGGTCCTGAGATGTGGTGACAGTAATGAAGTTACCTTGCACCACTTACTGTGCTGTTGGCTTGTCAACAATAGAAAATAGAATTTAAAAATATCCTGGGACACACAATACTGCATGAGGGAATAACTAACGTTACAGAATAAATAAGAAGCTTAGTTTCCATATGAGGTACAGTGTATCCAATATATCTAATAAGGTGCCCTCACGTTTAAAATCGTATTTGTCTGTTTCAAAGCCCAAATACACCTATTTGAGCTATGTCTAGCAGTTACAGCTACAGAATTGGTGAAGTGCTTTCTGCAAGTTTAGCATATTACATGTCAAAGAATCTGAAAAATTATAAAAAAACATAATCATCACATACAAATAGCTGTATGTGAAAGCAGCAGCTACTTAAACAGCCAAATTACATGCAGTCCAATTCATTTTCTCCTGCGTTGAGAACTATTGCAAGGCTCCTCAAACTAGCCCTCTCATCTCATTTAGCTATTGCCAAGGCCAATTTAGTCTCTGAAAAATAGGTGTTGCATTTAGGAAGATGGAAAGAGCGGGACTTAAAATGAAAGATACTCGAAATAGAAAGGAGCACCAAACTGAAATAATGGTAGTGACATTTTCAAGCAGGCCGTGGGCTGCTGCAGCCTGCAGATGTTGAAGCAGCCAGCAGAGGGAGATCATAAAGATCTATGAGAGTAATCACCTTCAGGTATAAATAGAGAACAGGTTTCAAACGAAACACTTCCCAGTTCATTTTGCCTTTCACATCTACTGCACACACCGAATCACAACCATCACTTCAAATTAGTTCTTTTTATTCCCGCAAGAAGGGATTTTATCTCCAGGTCCCACGTGTCACATAATTAGATCAGGTATAACAACACACACTGCATGTGGAGAAACACACTTGTGTGGAAATAAAACAGGTCCAAGTGGCATTATCATGGCATCCCCCATAAGGCTTTACTTCTGCTAAAGTAGAGCAGTAATGCCCCTTTTCTTATTTCCCACGAGCTTTTGATGCCTGGGTGATAACGGGTCCTGCAAAGACAAGTTGGTTTTTTTTTATCCTTGCCTGTTTTCCTGCAGAGTTCATTAGGATGCACTGTACTTCCAACCCAGACTGGTGGATGCCATCCGAAGAGCAAATAAACAAGGTGTTCAGCGACGCGGTGGGACATGCTCGTCAGGGGCGCGCCGTGGGGACTTTCCTGCACAACGGGAACTCGTATTACGAAGGGACTGACCATCCAGGGTCACAGGATGAGGTCTTCAATAGAGGTATGCAAGATGGATCTGGCGATTGATGCCAGTGAGAGGAACCTCACACAACAGTAGCAACCGTTTAATTTAGGAGAGACTATTTGTTAAGCATACTTACCCTGCTGTCATTTAGGAGTCCAAAGCATGTTTGAAAGCATACCGCATACCTTTCAGCTTCTCCATCCTACCATTTCCCACTTAACAGAAAGAAATCAAATTTCAAGACCTGCTTTATGGAATTTCTCAGTGCCTATTATTTTCAAATCCTTCATAGCACCCTCAAAGGGAAATTGCAGCTCATTTCATCTAATTCTAGTGGAAAGGGTCCTTTAAAAACCTAATGTCGAAAGGAATAGCAGCGACTGTCCTATCTGCCTATTGATAACAAGCCCAGGTCTTGACCCAGAACATCTGGATACTATTCACTTTCCCTGAGTAGGAGATGTAAGAACAAGTCTGCTGGCTTACAACACCACCAAAAACAAGTGATCTCCCATTTCCTAACAGAAAATAATGTAAATGCTACCTTAAAATACTACACAAGATGGAAAATTCAGGGACTTCCTTTAGCCAACTCTGCCAGGAAATTAAGCTTTCCAGGTAGAACAGCAACACTCATCAACAGCAGAATCCTTCAAAGACCCAGAACAACAACAGGTACTTCTAGTACATAAAAATTGCTTTGTGTATTAGATAGACACTATAGTTATCTAGATTTCAGGGGGATTAGAGCTGATCATGGCAGTTTTCATTAAAACAAGATTGCTAAAAACAAATTGCCACTTCAGAAGACAGGTTTTGCTTTGCTGCTGTTCTGTAGCCATATAATGTAGTTTTAAAGGCTTTAAATTGTCTTTTCTTGGTTTTGCTTTCATTTGTGGTTTTTATCCATTCCTTGAAATAGATGAGGAAATGTGCTGGACCTAACAGTCAGATGCTCAGTGTTGCATTCAGGGAGGGCTTTGTTAAGTAAAAGCCTAGTTGAACCTTCTTTTTAGGTAAACATGGGGTCCAGACTAAGAGCAGTAAGAAAATAGCTCTGCTAGAGCAGAATTCACAATGGCATGCAACATTGGAAGCAGATATCAACTTTAAAAAAAAAATTCCACTGAAAACCTTGAAAGGCTTAGGAGTCCGTTGTCCCTACAAATTGATGCACTTCAGAAATATGCAATGCCAAAGAAACTATACCCTTCCCTTTTCATGTCAGGGTGTTCCCATCTCCTTATCTTTGTCCAGTCACTCAGGCCAGCGCTGGCATCCTTCACAGCCTGAACCAGCTCTCCTTGAGGCAACATTTCACCACTGGCAGGTACAGGGAACTGGTGTTTGGAAAGAACGTTCACTTTGCTTTTGACCATCCTTAGTGCTACCTCATCAACGTTGACTCTCCTGAACGCATCTCTCATGCTCCCCAGCTTTCCTATCTGCCCTTGTGCAAGCTACAGAAGAAGCTACTACTTGCTCCTTTTACCCTTCTCCTCTCCTTCCTGGCCTTCTGCCCATGTGGGAGGCAGGGCAGGAGGCACCCCACCCCTTCCTCAAAGATCAGGAAGGGCCCTCTGGGTTGAAGTGCTCCACTAGCTCCATCCTGACCGTGGATGGAGGACTGAGCGGTCTCAACAATCAGCTCACCCACATGATCATTTCTTCCCACTATCTCTCTCCTTGCCTGTGGTTGGGACCAGGTTCTTGTGGCCACCCCACAGGGCATCTCGGGACACAGGCTCCACCATGCACCACTGTAGATGGGACCTCACTTAGCCAGGATATGCTTTAGGCCCTTAAATGTCCAATTACATCCTGATTCATTTTATTTTTGGTGATTTTAAAAGGCTGAAAGGTACTCACTTGCCTTAGAATAACTCACTTATTTTCTAAAAGTGAAGGAGCAGTTTAATCTCACTGGATCTCACCAGGCAAAGGGGTTTGGGACAGCATCCCTCGCTACAGGCAGGAGGTGACCTTCTTTGAGCGGTCAGTGGTGCATGGTGGCCTCTGGAGGAGAAACTCGGTGTACAGAAATGTCACAGTACTGATATCTTATAGTAGCTTTTCCGTGTTGAACTTACAACTTTATTTAAAAGAACTGTAATAGAAGATGTTACATTGCTCAGCTGGTGTAAGTCTTGCTGGTCTATGTTTAATGTGGTGACACTTGCCAGAACTACTTGGTAAAACATGTCAGAACGTGTGAGTCAACATTATACTGTAAATTTGTCCATGACAATTTGTATCACGCTGTATTTTTGTAAACATTGTGATGGTTTCCTTTCAAATGTTTAACTGTAGGAGGTGAAAAATAGGATCGCTTCATTTTTAACACTCACAGAACTACTGGACTGGACAGACCTCTCTCACTTAACCTGAAGATACACTGAAATAACTAGTAAGCCTAGCTTTATTTTTGGAGTAAAAAAATGTAGCCAGTGTCCTCGAACCATTCTCAATCCTCTGTTCTCATATTGTGCAAAAAAACCAAATGTGGAGTTTCATCCCAAAAGCCAATTTGCCACTAGAAATATCTTTTCAGGTTTGGACCTTTCTTTACAGTTCTACTCTCCTCTACAGTTCCAGTGCTACTGCGTGCACTGGCCAGTGACATGAATCGTAGTCACAGACAGGCATTAGCAGACCCCAGCTCATGGTATTTGGTTCATGTTTGGTTTTAAAATAACAAAGTACAACAAGTTTTCTCGTTTGTCTCTAGTTGCCATCATAACTACTTAACTGATTTCATTTAAAAAAAAAAACAAAAAAAAAACAAAAACAAAAACCAAAAACCGAAACCTTTCACAACAGCTTATTCCAATTAAATTGTTAATGAGGTATTATAAATTCATACACATTGAGGTGTCTGAATATCCACAAGATGTTGGGTATAAGACCACGGGACCTGAAATAGATAGCACAGAAGCTCTTGCAGAGCGAGGTATCTGTATTTAAGCAGCGTGCTTTGTAAGCCAGCACAGCCCTTCCCAGCTCTGCATGTAGACAGCAGGCTCGCAACAGAAGGGAACCGCTATCTATCATGTCACTCCAGAAAGTCCCAGGAGGATAGAGATTGTTGTCTTACTCTTCCATACTCTTTAATCTTACTGTCATTTATGTATCTGCCTTCTCTCAAACTTTGTGTAGCGGTACCGCACACCCATCTGTGCCAACATGCCTTTGCTATATTTTCTATGACAAATATTTGTGGAGAAACTGTGATTAAAAAACCATTAATCCAGCTATTTTTATTGTTATGGTGTAGTTAATTCTATGAATACTTTCTAATGATGATTGTACTGTGTAGAGTAAGTACAGATTAGGGATAGACCTTTAAACATATATTGTACAAAAAAAAGTGCATAGTGTAATATAGATTAGTAAGGGTTTTGTGACAATTTCTATAGGATGTGTGAATTGTTTTCTATGTGGCAACACACATTTCTTTTAAAGAATATAAAAGCTTAGAGAATTTTTTAAACAGTCAATATTTTTTAATTATAAAGACATTTGTTACCTACAGTTTACTATTTCAGGTGTTAATTCTAATTTGAATATTTGTTTATTACTACATACCTCCAGTTCCATTTGTTCTGTTGCATAAAAATGCACAATAAAAGTTAGTCCCTGGTTAACCTGCCTCCCTCTTTCTCTGTAGGCATTGTGTCGGTGCGACAGCCGTTACAGCTGGTTCTCACTATAAGTACATATTAAAAGTTTTAGACTTAGATTTATATAAAATTCTAGAGGGTTTTCTTTTGCTTTAAATGCTTGTTTGGTATGAAGCACTGGCAAGTGCAGTGAAAGGTTATGAAGAATTCAAGTATGAATATAACAGAAACTTTTAAATCTAGGTGGTTATATTTTGAAGTTAAGTGCTGGTTAGATAGAAAGATCGCTCAGAAAAAGTACCCATCTGCAATCTTAAGACCTGGATTTTCAAGTGGTGAAGTTTAAATCCCATTTTAATTCAAAATTCAGTGATGGCTGAATGTCTCCTGTTCTCTTAAATGCTTTAGAAAAATCCCAGCTCCAAATAATTTGTAAAGGAATTACAGTGACAAACACTGACCACAGCAAAGCCCTTCTGGCAAGCTGCAGAGCAAGACAGGCCTGACCCCAAGCTGAGGTCATCCAGTGCAAACAGTTCCCAGATATTTCCACTAGAAAGCAACACTTTCAGGTGCATGTAATGTTGCAAAACTAACTGGGGCTGGGCTGGTATTTTCTAGGTCAGGGCTTCTGCATACTGTATTTTTTGTGAAAATCCTCATTAGTGAACACCCTTATTAGCGAAACCCTCACCAAAATAATTTCAGGTGGTCAGGAGAAAATGCAGGCTAAAAAACACATGCCAACACTCTACAAAAATAACTTCTTGTTGGAAAGCTCTGACTTCCCAGACTTCGGGCAATGATTTCAAATGTCAGAGGGTAGATCCAGAGGCAGGAGTGAATGGGGCTGGGCTATGGGGAAACAGATGGGGTGATGGGGCACTACAGGCAGGAAACCACCAGGGCATGTAGGTAAAGAAAGAACCAGAAGCAGCAACTGGGTTTTTGAAGCTTGGAAGGTCCCCAGAGAGATTAGGTCTAACAGTGGAGTCTGTAAGAAGCTGATAAGCATGAAAGGTAGTGACTGGGGCTGGACAGGCAAAGAGAAGGGGTAAGGAATAGGTCCATGGGGTCGGGGAGAAACAGGCCTGGGAGATACTTGAAGGAGACAGGTGGCACAGCTTGGGGGTGTGGTTCAGGAACACTCCATTTTGTCACTCCTCCACTAACTAAACCTACTGGCAAAGCAAGAGCTGAGCCATGCTCCTGCACTGCCCCAGTGCTAGTCCTTTCAGAAGCATAGCCCACCACTGCTGGCAGTTAGGCCTTCGCTCAAGCAGTAAGGTGTCCCTGAAGGGGACCTTTGAGGTCAAAGTCAGCCACTGAATCTCACACGTAGGAAGGAATTTAGTTTTTACCAAAACTGGGATAGTTCTACCTCTTCTTCCATAGGGGTTTTGTGCAGATCAGTGCTACTGAAGAACCAGAGCTATAGTGCTAAGCGCTACCAGAAAAGGCCTTGAAGATGCTAATAAGCCTGCCTGCAGAGTAGTTTTAAGTGCATGCATAAAGCCAGGCCACAGATCAAATGGTGAGGGAGAAACAAAATGCCCAACGACTGCTGAAGGAGCAGACCCTCCTGCAGGAGGCTGGGGCACTGGGCAACAGCAGCACTGTAGAGTACACATAAGGACTCCCAGGTACAAGGAGACCGAGGTACACTTGCACAGCAGCGTTCATCTTGCTCTCTGCTAACATCCAAGTCCTTAA